GTTGTCTCAGGATCGTCTAGGACTCCTTGCAACCTATGGATCTCTTCAACTTGTTTGATGTCCTGGGACTATTCAGGCAGATGTAATTGAATCAGTTTGAAGCAGCTGTAGCTGGCATGTGGTCTCTCAGATTGCTAGCACCTGCTTGTTTTTTTGCAACTCACTAGAGTGAGAGAAGTGCCAAAACCAGCATTGGTCTTGGAGCAGATAAAGCACTTCAGATCCTATATCCCTTTCTCCTTCCAACCTAGTCACATCATCACTGGTGCCTAAATTAATAAAACCCCTCTTCATGATTATGTCTGAGGTAACTTTTCCTTCTCATTCTTCCAAACATTTAGATCCTGACAGTACTGACCATGATAGTCCAAAAAACTAAGAGAGTATAATGGTGATCAGGTGGCTTTGGGGCTCTCTTATCATTAGACAACTGGGTAGCCTGTGGTTTGCAGAATCATTTAAATGAGTGCACCAAATTCATTTGCTGTTCCAGCACAGTCTTGTTGGCACAGAGAGTGAGCAGTTAATGTATAACAAACTGTGAGCTGTTATGGAATATGATAAATAAATTTGCTTAGCGGGGGGGGGGGGATGTGAAATGGAACTATTTCATGTAACTCTAAACTAACCAACATGGATTTCTTCAGCATATACTATGTGGAAGAAGATGCACTTTGCTAAAACAAGGATTAAAAATCTAGGAGATAATATATATACTATATATTTTTTAAGCTTTATTTATTTATGCATACAGAACTGGGGTACAGGCCAGAGGTGTAGAGGTGTAGGTGAGAGGATTCACCAGAGACAGAGTGGGGAGCAGAACAGGTTGATTGATGAAGTACACTGCTGAGGGGAACAGAGAGCTTGTCAAGGGAGGTCTGCCATGCCATGTGGGTCCCTCTGGGGCCAGGGGTGGAACTCATGCTGAAGTAGCTTTAGCCTCTTAGTCCTGTGCTTTAATTTGCTGCACCCCCAGTGAGGGCCTTATACTATATTTTTAAAAGATATTTATTGAGAATGTTTATAAATATGTTTAAATCAATATAAAAGTACTTGTTTATCTTATCTTTGTTCCACTATATTACTTACAGACATGTACATAGTTATTAAATATTATTAACTTCCCAATCTTTAATTGAACCAGGAGGTAGCAAAGACAGCATTTTTACTGAAATCTTTAGTTTGTCTTACAAAGTCCCTTTAAGATGCTTTTAATTTGCCAGTCTTTTGAAAGAAGCCAAGAGAAAATCTCAAGTTTATGAACAATAGAAGGAATGAATCCAAAAACTATAATTTAATTACCACTAATTAGCAAATATCTGTTTTACAAGGTATAGCTGTATTGTATGGACGTGAAGAAATATATATGGCCCCGGACTACACACAACTTACATGAACAGGCAGAATTTAAAAAAATAAATAAAGTAAGATACTTTCATCATTAAATACATGCTGTAAATTTAGTGGAAAATGAACACCATAAAAGTAAAAATAAAAAATCATCAGTCACTCTTGTTAAATAAATTCTGTAGACCTAGTGTCCCTTTGCTCCACTTCACTGCCCAATAAGACATCACTAAGTCATCAGGGTTCTCTCTGCCACTGAACTAGAACTTGAAGACAACAATTTGGACAATTATTAACATTGATGGAAGTCAGGTGTAAGGTGAAACCATTTACCATGGCTAGAAAAACAATTAAGTGTTGAAATTTTTCAGTAGAGTTAGAAACTTCAGTGAGCTAAAAGGTAAGATATAGGACTAAAACTAGGAAGGTTTTGATAAAACATGAAACACAGAACTTAAGTAATGAAAAGTAGGTCATTTTCAATCTGAGAAGTATTATCAACAAATGAGTTAACTTTGGAATTATGTAGTATATGCAAGGATAATGCATGACAGACCTCATTTGTAAATAGATAAGAGGTTATATAATTATCACATTTTAATGTTTTTTTCTCCTCTGCTAGACTGTAAACTACATTGAAATATTATATAATTAATTATTTAAAAATACCTCCACAGAGATATTCACTGAGTCTGCTATCTGAACAAGGTTTCTCATTTGCTTCCAAAGGATCTTATTCTTTTCCTTCATTGTATATAATTCACATGACAGTTTTGGGAGCACCTTCTTTCTACTAGATTTTTTTTTTTTAAGATTTTATTTATTTGTGCATACAGAACTGGGGTACGGGCCAGAGGCTCAGGGGCGGTGACAGGCTTCATCAGAGACAGAGTGGGGAACAGAACAGGCCGATCGATGAAGTACACTGCTGAGGGGAGCAGCGGGTGGGCGGGTTAGGAGAGGTCTGCCAGGCCATGTGGATCACCTCCGGGGCAGGCGGGAATCAAACTCATGCGGAAGTGGCTTTAGATTCTCAGTGCTGTGCTTTAACCCGCTGCGCCACCAGGGAGGGCCCTCTACCAGATTATTTTTTTTTGAAATACTATAATAGTCTATTTTTCCATCATTTTTGCATTTTTCCATCTCAGTTGTAATCCCCGTAGGCTTCCCATCACCCAATTACCCATGTGACATCACCATGGTCCAATGCACTTCCCTCCCCCCACTGTTTTTGATCCCATTCCCCACTCTACCCTCATAAAATGTCTGATATATAGCTGTTTATTATTATTATTTTCTCACCTGGTTCATTATACCTGTGCTAGGAGTGAACCCACCCTGTTTTTTTTTTTTTTTTTTTCCTTTTCTTTTGGGCTTTTTTCACTAAGCATGATCTTTTCCAGCTCCATCCATATTGCTGCAAAAGGCATGTGTTTATTTATTTTTTTGGTTGTTGAGTAATATTCCATTGTGTATATGTACGACATCTTTTTTTTAACCCAGTCATCCACTTTTGGGCATTTGGGCTCTTTCCATGTCTTTCCAACTGTAAATAAAGCAGCAATAAACATGGAGGTTCTGCCAGATTTTATATTAAAAATTAAGGGAGATTTAAGATTTTGTTCTATATATTTAGATAAAATCAATAATTTTTTAAAATGTGATTTTGATTTTTATAGTTATGATAGCATCACAATGATTTGAGGGATTTCTGCATTAACTATAGTATTTAAGAATTTTATTATGTATTCCTGATTTCAGGGAACAAAGAGATAACTATTATAGTGGAAAGAGCATGAGGTTTAGAGATCTGAAGTAAGTTTCTTATTGGTCATGAGATATCAGTTAGCTCTCATGTGTTGGCTCCATTTATTCATCTGTAAATTAGAGGTTACAGTATACCACAGCACTCTGAAAGGAAAACTGGCTTCACCTCCCATCTTCCTCCTTTACTTCCTCTGCCATCATCATAATCCTCCTCTGAAGCCATATAATACGATGTTTAACATGGTGTACAATATAGCTTCTTCTTTTTCCATCCCTTTTATTATTTGTTCAGGAGCTCACATATTTACCAATGCAGTTAGAATAAAGAATTATGCTTATCTTAAAAAACAAAGAAATTTAGGAAATATTTTATAACCTAACCATTACTAATTTTACTGTTAATTGCTTCTCGATAAGTTATTTCATTATATCAATATTTGTTATTAATAATTTATATAACTAAAGTAACTTTTACACTGATTGATTTTAAACATTGCCATTTTTTGTGTTTTATTCACTTATTTGTTCAGTCAATGAAAATTATTCTAGCTATTAATCTAACTATATTCACTTTCTAATTAAATATATAAATACCTTAGTTTTCTGTATCTACTTTGTTCTAAGCTTTAAAGTATTAAAAGTCAATGTTTCAGAAAACAATTCAAATATAAAGTGGTTCACCTCTGAGTTGTAATAGCCACTTATTCTCACCTTTAAAATATTTGGTAAATGAATAGTTGGCTAACAAAAGTTATTAAACTAAACAAGTAAATTAGTTTACTAATAGTGATTATTACACATCTCCTAGGATGAAATAAAAAAGAAAAGTAATTATTAGGTGTTACCTAAAGTGATAATTCCTTCCATCATTCATGCTTTGGACATGTAATGTTTAATGATGAATATCTCCATATATCACTTATAATTTTGAAGGTCTTTGTGGGAGTTTATGAAAATAATATCCAATTTTCTTAAGACATACATTGATGATAAAGTGAAAATGTGTGAATAGATCTTTTATCCCTCAGCTATGTTTTATTAATGGTATTCAAACTTTTTATGCTCTTTACTATTCTCATTTTTTCTTAAGACTACCAAAACAAGATTGTGACTATTTAAGGGTAAAAAATGTAAATGAGTTAGGGTCTTCTGAAGTAAATTTAAATACATGATGATCTGTACAGAAAACAGTAGACAAGCTGAAAATTTACTGAAACATTGCTTTTACAATATAATTTATTTAGTAAATAAGTGCTAAATTTGATATTACTTTTAAGAAATTATTCATTTTGTATCAGAAGTCAGTTCAAACATAATCTTTAGTTATGTTGATCTGATGTTTCAGACAAAGCAACCTATGCTTATAGGAGCGAGGAAAGGTTAATTCTTGGGTGAAAAGAAAATTGTCTTTTCCTGCTATATTTTGACATTTTTATATTACATTCAAATTTCCATTGATCAAAGTAGGTATATTTACTTTCTGAATCTAGTCTTTCAAAAGCATAAATAAGTTTTCATTGAATGGAAGATTTAATTTTTTTTTCAATTACGTGATTTTAATCACGCTTTTGCTATTGATCATGTACCATTGTATTTATTAATTATGTCAGTATGGCACTTGGATTGTTTAAAAATATAAATTTCATAATTAACTTTTTAAAAATGACCCACACCTGTTTCTGGCTTTCTTCAAAAGGTGGGATTAGAAGACGATTCTGTCAGTTGTGAATTTGAGGTCACTATTTTTATTTACAAAATTGATGTACCCGCTTCCACTTTTTTCATTCAAAAGGACTAAGGTTATGTCATTATCCTGAGGCTGCTGTAACAAATTACCACAAACTGAGTGCTGTAAAACAACAGATTTTTTTTTTGTCTCACAGTTCTGGAGTCCAGAAGTCCAAAATCAAGGTGCTGCAGGTCCGCAGTCTTTCTGAAGACCCAGGTAAGACTGTTTTTCTTGCCTTTTTCAGATTCTGGATTCCTTGGCTTTCCACTGTGTAACCTCAAATTCTACCTTTATCTTTACATGACTTTTCCCTCCTTTGTCTCATCTTCTTTTAGAATACCAACCTTTGAATTTAGGGTTCACCTTAAATCCAAGATTTTTTTATCTCAAGATCTCTCAGTGGTTATATTGGCTCAGACTACATTTCCCAACACTGTCACATTCTAAGGTCCAATATAGACATGAAGTTTTGGGGGACACATCAATCTACTACAGAGAGTAACCTTATTTTTCTGTAATAGTATGTCAGGCTTATTTAAATTATCACACTTTAATTCTTTCTTCCCTCTATGAATGACAAAGTTTACCTTTTCATCATTTATAGGATACTTGTTACCTTAGCACCTTGATATTGTTAATGGGTTTAATTGAATTACGAGTTAATCTCTTTTATACATTTTGGAACTACTAAAACTTGATTATAGATTATGAATTTGAGTCACATAATAAGTAATCAACAGGATTATAGTTACTCTGAAGATGCAGTACAAAATTAAAAATGAACTTGATGTTATACAGTTTTTTTTTTCATTTGGTGTGATACATGTTTATATTGAGGTACCAAATATACTTTTATAGTTCAGAGTAGTTTCAGGCTGCATAAATCATGAGATTTTAGAATTTTTTCCCATAATAATGTCTAGATACTGTAAACCAAGTATGCACCTCAAATTTATAGTGTTATAGAGTGACAAAAATGTGTGTCAAATAATTGCTCATTGAAACCATGAAATAATTGAATCTCTATATTTAGCAGACTTGAGCATTTTATTAATTAGATAAATATGATGCTGGCTGCATATAAAGATACACATCCATTAATTGATAACTGGAAATGATGAGTATCCAAGAGCAGATTGGTAAAGCAAGACTCAGCTCAGAGAGGTTAATTCTAACTTCATGTAGCCAGTATGTGACTAACACAGAATTTCAACTCAGTTGTCCCCAACTGGAATACCTGCATTGTTTCTACCTTTCCCAAGTTCATGTCCAAGGTGTTGAAATTGTTTTTCTTTTCTTGTAAGAGTATATTAGCATTAGGGATAGGGTAGACAGAGGAAGCAGATAATTAAATAGTCATTCCTAAAAGAATTGGAATAAATAGAAAACATTTGTTGGTCCTTACCCCCCAGGATATAAAATATTACAGAATTCTATTTAGAAACATTCATTTTACCAACAATTTGAATTTGAAAAAAAGATTAGTATAGTGATTATATGAATTATGACTTTCTCTACTAAAATTTCTTTAGTAGAGAATTTAACTTGGAGCTCTTCTAGTATACTTCTGGATAACACATAATTGTATATTCATAAGACAGAAGACAGAGGTAAGCATTAGACTTCCTGCCAAGGAGGTAGAAAGACAATATAAATGAAAATTAAAAAAAATAAATAACCTTTGAAATGTATTTAATATATTTAAATTTGAAAATGTGATTTTAATTTGCAAAATTACAATTTATACCCAAAATTTATTTTTTAAAAAGATTTATTTATTTATGCATGCAGAACTGGGGTACAGGCCAGAGGTGCAGGGGCGCTGAGAGGACTCACCAGAGACAGAGTGGGAAACAGAACAGGCTGGCTGACAAAGTACACTGCTGAGGGGAGCAGCAGGCGAATCAGGAGAGGTCTGACTCACCATGTGGATCACCTCTGGGGCAGGGGATTGAACTTATGTTGAAGTGGCTTTAGCTTCCCAGTGCTGTGCTTTAACCTGCTGCACCACCACGGAGGGCCTGGTGCATTTTTATTTTACCCATTTTAGCTTGGCCTATTCCTGTTGCTGTAATAACCAAAGGAAAAAAAAAAAAAACTACCTCTTTGCCACAGTACAGATTTCTTTTTTATTATGTGGTTAAAGTTATACCAGTTTCCGGCTAGTCTGGACATAGATTTCTCAACAAGAAAATCAGTATCTTAAACTTTGTGGAGGTAGTATGGTGGTAGTGAGTTTGGGAGGAAACAATAAACAAATGACAAATACATTTATAAGGTACATCTGGAAAGCAGTCGGTGCTATTCAGGAAGTAAAACAGGAAAAGTAGGGTAGAGAATAACTACGTGTGAGGTGTGGGGAAGTGTCATGGATGACTCTTTTGAAGAATTAATGCTTGATCTACGAAGCTGAATAAAATGAGCTAAGTAAGAGAATATCTGGATTAACAGAATTTGATATCTATATTCTTAGGTGTTGTTCAGAATTGTGCTCCCAAGGGGGTTACATGCAGAATAAAGGGGTAAGGAGATCATGTGTTGTGTGTGTTTGCTAACTATTAATGTACAGTTAGTTGATCTGCTTCAGGCATATGCAGTTGACTCCTTTTGTTCTGATAGCAAGACAAGCAGTAATAAACATTTGGGGATGGATTAATGATGCCTAACAGAATCTCCCTAAAATCTCAGTCTTGTTATTTGTGAAAGATAATAAGATAGTCTGGCCACACTGAAGGGACTAGATTCATTGTTGTGCTTATGTTTCCTTAAAAATTCCATTGCTTTGCCTACTCTGGCAGTAGGAACTGGTAGAGAAGCTGCAGGTATTCTTAAGCCATCATTTCTCTCTCCCTTTGGCAAATCATCTTTTCTAGGAGTAGTATCATCTGTTTTCCTATACAGAAAAAAATTGGAAATGAAAATGGAAGGCCAAATTGGATATCTACTTGTTTAAGTATTAATTCAAAATAAGTTAAGATTTAATACAGGACTTTTGATGAATATGAATTTTTTTGTTGAGGTAAGCACAGGAAATTTCTTCTTTTCATCTCTACTTTCAATCTGAAGCATACATTTCTCCAAAAACTCAATTCAAAACAAGTATTTATCCATAACTAGAAAAGGACATGTGGTGTTAATTATTGAAATTGATGCAATTTGATGGAATTTAATGTATGTAATCAATATTGTGTTCTTAGCATTATGGTTTTACCTTGACTTGATGGTATAACATGAAACAGTATTGCCATAACCCAAATTTATACTATATAAAAAATCAAAATAAAAAAGAAAGTCAAAAGTCTACTGTGAGCATTTGAAAAACATCCAAAAATAGCATTTCAGAAATCATTAGGCTTTAAGTGAGAGGGTTTACATTTTTTTTTTCTAGAGAAGCTAAAAACTTCCCAATAATTTTTTTTAAAGATTTATTTATTTGTGCATACAGAACTGGGGTACAGGCCAGAAGCTCAGGGGCGATGAGAAGCTTCACCAGAGACAGAGTAGGGAGCAGAACAGGCAGATTGACGAAGTATACTGCTAAGGGGAGCAGCGGGCGGGTCAGGAGAGGTCTGCCGGCCATGTGGTCACCTCCGGGGCAGGCATGGATTGAATTCATGGGAAGTGGCTTTAGCTTCTTAGTGCTGTGCTTTCACCCTCTGCGCCACCAGGGAGGGCCCCAATAAAATTTTTGAGAAGTTTTATCAACAATCTAATTTATAAGTCAGATTATTGTGTAACATTGAATACAGTTCATACCATAGAATCTTACAAATGTGCTTCCCATGTTTCTGTTCTTATTACAACATTGGAAACCAGAAATGAAGGAATAACTATTTTTTTTAAATGCCACAGGGCATTACTTTTAGTATGTAGCTTAGATGACTATATAATTCTCATCCAAACCATGTTTGAAACACTTTGATTTAAAAAAAAAAATCTGATCAAATGACAAGAATACTAAGTCACAATAGAAGAAGACCATTGGGTTTGTGGAACTTCAAGCACCACAAATTAAAAAGGATAGGGCATCCTCTTATAACTGGTCAGCAAGCACTGTGATGCTATAGATTTCAAATATTTTAGTATTGTGTATTTCAGGTTGTGTATTTGAGAATATATATCTGGGCTGTGGCTAGCTGGAAGTGCCAGTAAAGTAAATAAGTCATACACTTTCTGATCAGTCTTGTTTGGCATGTTTCAATACCTTGGCAGGGTTTATTGTTGAGACCCAGAGGGACTTGTACCATGTACCATGTATATATTATTTAAATTACTAGTTAGTTTATTCAGTTTATCCAACATGTTAGCTTATTAATTCTTTTCTATTGTTGTTAATACATGGCTACAATCAACCTATAAAATACCCGATAGCTATTTGTTATTTTAGTAGCTCTAGATGTTTATAATAAGTATTTAATTCTCAAACATTTTCCACCATCTTATATTGGATTTTTAAGACACAAAAGTATAAATGGTAACTGATAGAAATTTGCAGCTATCTTTTTAGTGTAATTCAATTATTTTATAGATGGGGAAATAGAAACTCTGAAGCTGATAGGTCTAGAAATGTGTAAAGTAAGAAATGTTGCTTTGGCCCTCCCTGATGGCGCAGTGGGTTAAAGCACAGCCCTGAGCCTAAGCCACTTCCGCATGAGTTCAATCCCCGCCTAACCGGAGGTGACCACATGGCGTGGCAGACCTCTCCTGACCCGCCCGCTGCTCCCCTCGGCAGTGTATTTCGTCAGTCTGCCTGTTATGCTCCCCACTCTGTCTCTGGTGAATACTCTCATCACCCCTGCGCCTCTGGGGCCTGTACCCCAGTTCTGTATGCGTAAATAAATAAATCTAAAAAAAAAAAAAGAAACGTTGCTATGTAATACTCTATTTCCATATAGTATACTTTTTACCACTTACTACTACTCTCCACAGTATTTTTAAAATACGCATACCTGGTAAAATTTTAAATGAAATGGCACACGAGGATATGGAATAAAAAGTATATCTTTGCTATTATATATTACTATTATGAGAGGAAACAGATTGAAGTGTATTTGTGTACAGAAATGTACCAATATTCCTATACTTTGAAAGCAGAGAAGGAATCATATTCAAGTTCTTTATGCTTTTTTCTTCTTAACATTATAACTTATTTTGTAGTAGTTGTGCTATAGTTTATTTTTCAGTATCTTAATTTTTGTTGTACTTTATTAAGTTAC